CGGAGACTACTTCTCAGTCGGCATCTAGAGATCAGCCGACTGTTGTTATTACTCTGGAGGCCTTGCAATCGCTGATTCAAAGTTAAGTGAATCAAGCGGTGCAGAGCCGAATGGATTAGGTGGTACAGATAGCTTTTGCTGTTTTTGGAAGGTGGGCGGCTCCGACAGCACCTGTACCTAGCCATGTGACTCTAGTGCCTGAAGCATAAGTAGGTGTTCAGGTAGCGATACCTCCAACAATTTCGAAGGAGCTACCTGGTACAACGGTAGTGACNCCCACGGAATTGAAAGAGTTGAAATTGCAACTGCAAGAATTGTTGAACCAGGGGTTCATACGACCTAGTGTGTCACCGTGGGGAGCTCGTGTTGTTTGTGAAGAAGAAGGACGGTACACTCCGTCTCTATACTGATTATAGGGAGCTGAATAAGGTGACCATTAAAAATAAGTATCCCTTGCCGCGAATTGATGACTTGTTTGACCAGCTTCAAGGGGCAGCGGTATTTTCGAAGATTGACCTTCGTTCTGGTTATCACCAGATAAGAGTCAAAGAAGATGACGTACCGAAGACAGTTTTTCGTACTCGGTATGGGCATTATGAGCTTGTTGTGATGTCCTTTGGCTTGACTAATGCCCCTGCAGTGTTTATGGAGCTGATGAATCGGGTATTCCAGGATTTTTCTGGATTCTTTTGTCATTGTGTTCATTGATGATATCTTGGTTTATTCCAAGACAAACGATGAANTACATTCTTCAACTGCCCAGGGAGTCATAAGATGCTGTGCGTCATGTATATGTTGGAGGGACCAGCCCATTTTTGGTGAAACCAAAGAAGCCAAAGATGGAGGCTAGTGGAGTCCCAATTTCATGGGCAGCATTTAAACATGAATTTTGTGAGAAATACTATCCTGCTCTAGTAAAATTATGAAACCGAAAGGTCTNCTTTTGTCATTGTGTTCATTGATGATATCTTGGTTTATTCCAAGACAAACGATGAACATGCAGAACATTTGAGGAAGGTTTTGTTGGTTCTACGTAAACAAAGATTATATGCCAAGTTCTCAAAATGCCAGTTTTGGCTTCAAAAGGTAGTATTCCTTGGTCATGTGGTATCCAAGGATGGTATAACTGTTGATCCNAAAATTATGAAACCGAAAGGTCTTTATGCAGCTGGAGCAGGGTAATATGTCAATAGAGAAGTATGAAGTGGAGTTCACACGATTATCCAGGTTTGTTCCTCATATGGATGCTACTGAGAAAGAAAAGATAGATCTCTTTATCCTTGGTTTGAGGACAGAGATGTAGGGATTAGTGTCTGCCCATGCTTTTTAAAACTTGTTACTGCTTATAATACTACTGTGGAATTAGATGCTGCCACCCNTTATAGGTTGGGTTCGACCAACTACAGTTACTGAGGTGAGAAGTTTTCTGGGTTTAGCCGGATATTACAGGCGCTTTATTAAAGACTTTGCAAGGATTGCTGCACCACTGACTCAGTTAACCCGAAAACGGAAGAAATTTGATTAGAGTCGAGCTTGTGAAAGTAGTTTTCAGGAACTCAAGGAAAGATTAGCGTCAGCCCCAGTGCTTATTGTACCTGACGGTACTGGAAACCTAGTAATTTATAGTGATGCCTCTAAGCATGGGTTGGGGTGCGTACTTATGCAAAACGGGAGAGTTATTGCTTATGCCTCTCGGCAATTAAAGGATTATGAACGCAGTTACCCAACTCATGATTTAGAATTAGCTGCTGTGGTGTTTGCTCTGAAGATATGGAGACATTATTTATACGGTGAGAGGATACAAGTATATACGGATCATAAGAGTCTTAAATATCTGTTCACCCAGAAAGAGCTTAACATGAGGCAACGTCGGTGGTTGGAATTGGTAAAAGATTATGATGTGGAGATCCTACATCATCCTGGTAAAGCCAATGTGGTAGCTGATGCCTTGAGTCGTAAGACAGCTCACTCATCTGCAATGCTAATGAGACAACACAACATTCAGATGGAGTTTGAACGAGCCCAGATAGCTGTCTTGGTCAGGAAAGCGGCAGCTCAGCTAGCTCTTATAACTATTTGTCCGACGTTGCAGGAACAAATTATTCGGGGTCAGCAAAGGGACCCTTATTTTTCAAAAGTTGTGAGGCAACTTGAGACTGAACAAATCAAGGATTTCTGGATAACGGGTGATGGATGTTTGAAGTGGCAGAACCGAACTTGTGTGCCAAATGATGTAGAGATCAAGAGGAAGATTCTATCTGAGGCGCATGAGTCGCTCTATACTGTGCATCCAGGTGCCACAAAAATGTATCAGGATTTGAAAACATGCTTTTGGTGGCCTGGGATGAAGAAAGATGTTGCTGAATGTGTGAGTAGGTGTTTAACTTGTCAACAAGTTAAGGCACCTAGACAGAAACCAGCTGGATTATTGCAACCTTTAAATGTGCCTCAGTGGAAGTGGGAAGAAGTGACTATGGATTTCATTACAGGACTACCTAGAACCCAGTTAGGGTTTACAGTGATATGGGTCGTTGTGGATAGATTAACTAAAACAGCCCATTTTATACCAGGCAAGTCTACATATTCGGTTGACAAGTGGGCACAATTGTATTTAAAGGAGATTGTAAGGTTGCATGGTGTACCAGTTTCTGTGGTGTCAGATAGGGATACGCGGTTTACTTCTCGATTCTGGAAGAGTCTTCAGGAAGCCCTTGGTATACAACTGAAGTTTAGGATAACGTTTCATCCTCAAACAGAGGGACATACTGAGAGATTAAATCAAATTCTTGAGGACATGTGTACATGATTTTGCTGGCGGTTGGGACACCTACCTGTATCTGGTTAAATTTGCCTATAACAATAGTTCTCAGGCAACCATTCCGATGATTCTTTTTAGACATGTTATGGATGGAGGTGTCGAACTTCGATTTATTGGAATGAGGTAGATAGAAAATAGTAGTTGGATCCAAACTTGTTACGAATAGCCAATGAGGCAATACAGAAGATTAGGAAAAGAATTCTGATCGTTCAAAGTCGTCAGAAGAGTTATGCAGATATCAGAAGGAAGGATCTAGAGTTTGAGGTAGGGGATCATGTGTTCCTGAAGATTGCACCCGTTCATGGTGTTTTGCGATTTGGTAGAAAGGGGAAGCTCAGTCCATGTTTTATAGGACCTTTTGAGATCCTCGAAAGAGTTGGCCCAGTAGCCTATAGATTGACATTACCACCAGCGTTGGATGCTGTACATAATGTTTTTCATGTTTCGATGCTGAGGAGGTATGTTGCAGACCCTAGGCATATTCTTCGTTATGAAGATTTGGAGTTAAAGGAGGATTTAAGCTACGAAGAACAGCCCATGAAAATCTTAGCACGGGAAGTGAGATCTTTGCGTAGCAGAGATATCCCCTTTGTTAAAATTTTATGGAAGAATCAGCAAGTGAATGAAGCTACTTGGGAAAGAGAAGAGGAGTTTAAACGAGATTATCCATACTTGTTTAGGGAATTGTAAACTTTCGAGGACGAAAGTTCTTAAAAGGNTTATTGTATATTGTGACTGCTTGCCTGTGATGTAAGCGTGATATAAACGATTGTCAGAATGTTCTACGTGTTGATCATGATACATGTATGAAAGCATGCAGTAACTGTGAGTATGTTATGCATGTTAACGGAAAGGTTATGATTCTAGATATGCTTATTGGTGGTTGAGCTATGGCTTATTTACTGAGTATGATAGTCTACTAATTCCCGCGGAGTTCCTGGCCAACGCGCTGTGTGCTAAGTCAGGGAGCATGAGTACTCCTGACCGTTGGTATATGAGATAATCAGGCCGCCAGAGCAATTAGTAGACGGGCCGTATTTGACCGAGAGCGAGTCTTACATACGAGTCCGAAAATTCTAGATAAGCATATCGAGAGAGAGTCAGTAACCTAGCTGGAGGTAGCTGAGATACCTCATTAACGAACAGATGACCCTAGTAAGAGAACTAGGAGTCAATGATGAATAAAACCTAAAAACATCTGGAAAGATTAGTTATGAACTCTTGAATGATAAGCTAGCTACTTACTGAGTAATCTAATTACTCATCAAAATTATTATAACTTTTCTTTCCAGATTTAGATGATGCAGGCCAACCGAGGACGAGACCAGCGGACTGAAGACTACTGGGAATCCATGTCTGTGTCTGTTTTGTATATTTATGTTTTCGCTGTCAAGAATTTACTTCGGTTGATTTAAGTTTAAATAGCATTGGTTTTAAATGTTTTACTGAATGTTTTTTAAATATGTTGAGATTATGATTGGGTGTTAGAGTATGTTGTCGTTGATGGTGGTAACCCCTGTTAATCGCGTTGACGATGAGCGGGCGTTACAATAATGGTCATAATCAGCATGACATTTAAAACATGCATTTCATCTTAATATGAAAATAACATCATATAATATCATATAATATCATATGGCATCTTCATATAACTTATTCATGTCATCATACGTTATACATCATACATTATCATATAATATAATCATAGCATCATAAATATAAAACATAAATGACACGAGCAAGGGTTACTAGGCACATGTAGTCATACATCAAACAAGTCTTCCAACCTATTCGATAGTAAGGTCACTTACTTGGTTGGCCTTAGCCGGTGTTTCCCTAAATTAGAGTACGCTTGTCGTCTGTTCCTCAAAATTGCTCCAATTATCACCGCTAGTCGTTTCCTATTAAGATGTCCATCTCATTTCGTTAGCATTTCAAAATTCTAATATAATTTAACATGAATTTGTGAAATAAGACATTATACTAACCTCAATTACCTTAATTAGAATCAAAATCAGATTTGGGATGGTCGAAACGTTGAAAATTAGACAAAATACCTTTTATCGAGTCGGAGGACTAGTTTTTGAGCCGCGGAGCCGAACTGAAGTTGAGACGACTGAGTCGTGTAAGCTGAGAGGATTTTTGGTTGCATGTGTGACATGTTGCGCAACGAGACACTGACGCATGTGTAGGTTGAGGCACGGGTTGCTGCAGGCGCAGGTTGCTTGGGTTGAAGATGTGTTTAATGCAGGCGGGTCTTGGCTTTGTAGATCTGAGCTGAAGCTCGGTTGTTAATTGGTCACTCGACTCAGATTCCTATCCAACTAGTAAGATCGTCTTTCTCACCTGATCATCGCAATTCTTTGTCTCTATTTCTCTATCCTCCTTACATACTAGCTCGACATCTTCCTCTTTGGTATTTCATCTGGTTGTGACTCCATTCTAGTGTGTCTTCCACTCTCACGACGTTCTCACCCGATTATCGCAATTCTTTGTCTCTATTTCTCTATCCTCCTTA